GAAGGTCAGAAGAGGGCAAATTATGGAGGATTTTGAACACCAAACAGGATTTTAGATTGGATCCTGGAGATGATTTGGAGCCACTGGAGTTGACTGACTAAGTGTATGTGTGGCAGGTTGTGGGGCGGGGGGTGAGTGACGAGATCAGACCTGCACTTTAGGAATATCAATTTGAGAGCTTAGTGTAGACTAGATTGCAATAGGGAGAGAGAATGTACTAGGCAGACCCACCAAGGTGCTAGTGAAAGAGTTCAGGTGTAAGATGATGAGGGCCTGGAACAGAAATGTAGGAATGTTATAAAGAACAGGGCATATGGAAGCCATGTCATGAAGGTGTAATCCACAGCCCTTGGCAAAACAGATGGAACATGGGGGTGTGTGAAAAAGAACGAGGAGTTAAGGATGACACGTAGGGTGCAAACCTGAGGAACTGAGAGGTTCAGGAACTCTCCACAGTAATTGGGAAGTTAGGAACTGGAGAACTGGGGACAAAAGAAAATGAGTTCAGTTTGGGACATTTTGAATTTAAGACGTTTACAGGACATCCGGCCTAAGATATCCAATAAGCAGCTAGATAAGTAAGACCGGAGGTTAAGAGAAAGGTAAGGGCTGGACAAGCAGATCTGGGAATCAACAGCATAGAAATGTCCATTGAACTGATTAAAACTGATGAGATGACCAAGCAAAATAGTGTAGAGGGAGAAGAGAAGACGGCATGTGATAGAGTCCTGTGGGACACCCATGGCTAATGGGTATGACCTAGGTAAAGATCCAGCAAAGGAGACTGAGAAGGAGCAGTCAGAGAGGCAGGGGCAGAACTAGAAGAGAATAGTGTCATGAAAACACAGAGAGGAGAGAGTGTCAAAGGCTGTGGAGTGATCAAGAAGGATCAGGACTGAGAAAAGGCTCCTGAATTTGGCAATTAAGAGATCACTGGTCATTCTGGACAGAACAGTTTCAGTTTGATGGTTGGAACCCAGACTGCCAAGGCTTAAGCAGAGAGAGAGAGATGGAAGGAAATGGAGGCATGCTCAGGGGTTTATCCACAAAATGGAGGAGATGTAGAGGATGCTAGCAGGAATCAAGGGAGAGGTTTTGTTTTGTTTTGTTTTGTTTTTTGAGGATGGGAGGGATATGTACATGTTTGTAGGCATGAAGCAGCCTAGACTAGGAGAAATTGAACATAAGTGAAAGGGTGAGGATGGCTAGGGAAGAGGGGATGGCTTAGGCTCACTTGTGCATGTAGAGGACTTAGCCTTGCTAAAGAGAAGGGCCACATTTTCATGTGACATGGGGTGAAGGAGATAACGGCAGAAGGCTTATTAGTGATGTGAAATGAGGAAGGGGAAGAAAAGGGAATTCCTAGCAAGCAGCCTTCATTTTCTCAGTGAAATCCAAGGCAAGGTCCTCAGGTAAGATGATATGGGGCCAGGGAGCCATGAGTGGTCAGAGGAGGGATGGAAAGGTTTAGGAGAGAAACCGTGGTGGGTGGCCTAGTGAATTGACTATGGAGCTGCCTAAGGATTGCTTTACTTCTGGAAGGACCCAGTTGAATCTAAATGACATCCATTTGTAGTGAATCCAGTCAGCAGGGTTTCATCCTTTTTTCCAGCTTTATTCTATACTGTGTGGGTAGGAGCAAAGGTAGCATATGTGGGGAGGCCTGTATGAGAGACCAGGCAAGATAAGGGGGCAGAGGACTGCAGAGAAGAGGACAGGGTAGTGCTGAACTAGTTCACCAAAGGGTCAAGATAACAATCACAATAATAGCTGACTTTTATGTGATGTTTTAGGGTTTGGAAAGTGGTTTGCCTACAGGTGATGGTCTAGGAAAGAATTTAGAGGCGCAAAGATCAGAGGTCCCAGTGTAAGCAAAGACTAGGGTTTAGGGTTGTACTATAGAGAAGCGGAACGCTAACAGATTGTGGTCAGATTCTCAGAGTTTCTGAGCATGGAGGTGATGCATTTCTGGGTATGGCAAAATCTAGGGTATGCCCATCTCTACAGTAGCTGTAGAGGTGCAGAGGAAAAGGTCATAAGAAAGAGATAGGTTGAGGAATTGGGATGTTAGGTTGTTTGAAGGGTGCGGTTGTCCTTTAGTATGAGGGCAGGAGGTAGGGTCAGAAGCAACTTAGCTGTCAGGAGAGCAAAAGCAGGGCCTGAGATAAGGAGACTTGGAAATGGAAGCAGCTCCTGCCTCAGACGGGAAGGAACCCTCTTTCTTCTATGTTACTGGCTATAGCTGAAGCCAATCTCCCAGTAAGGTCAGCTTGGGCCTGCCCCCAAGTGGAAATGACTGAATTCTATTTAGGCAGTGCCAAATAGTCTGGCCAGTTTGAAGTGGGAAATGTGTGTTAATAATAAGTGAGGTCTGGTCTGGGATTAAGCATTTCACCCACCCAAAGAATGACAGATACCTGTAGAGGGAAGGGCTCGGAAAGTTCCTCCAGGAACCCACTGCTGTCTGACTGGCAGCTGCTGGCTCTCGTCACCCCAGCACCTAGGAGACCGAACAGATGGCCATGAGCTTAGAGGTCAAGGCAAAAAGGAGTTTGCCACCAATTCTGGGCCTGGGCAAAGGGCACTCGAGGCTTTTCCCCCAAGTCTGAGAGTCATATAAGGGCATTGCTAGGTGCTCGATGTTAGGTGCCAAACCGACAAGCTGTTTCATGAGCATGAATCAAAAATTACACTGAAGGGCTCAAATATTCAAGTGGGGTCCCTGAACTTGTATTTCTATATTAATCTATAATAATATAATACATGATATAATATATATGCAATAATGTATTATATATTGTGTACTTTATAATATATATCATTCTCTATTTTTCTCTCTATACATTCTCTGTATGTATATGTCTGCATGTATATATGCAGATAGAGATAGACTGATGATAAAAGGATAGATATCGGTATTTTACTGTTCTCGGTTTCCTTGTATTTTGGTATTCCTGTGCATTTTTTCTATGAATTTGAAAACATCATGCTGAGAAGGGGTCCATACATAGCCTTCATCAGACTGTCAGAGAGGTCCATGAGAGGGAAAAGGTAAAGAACCCCTGGTCTAAGGGTTCTCAGGTGATGAAAAACACCCATCAGCACCCACACTGCCAGAGCCAATTAGCAAGCATTGATTAAGTCCCTACCAAGGCAGTGTGGCTTTAGTGGATAGAGGGCCAGGCTTGGAGTCAGAAAGACTTGGGCTTGAATCCCACCTTATTGACTTAATAGGCTGTGTCATATAACTTCTCTGGGACTTAGTTTCCCTGTATGTAAAATGGAGGAGGGTGCTTGTTGACTTCCAAGATCTCTTCCAGCCCTGAGTCTATGATACTACTGTGTTAAGCAGAAGGGACAAGGCCATCTTGCCCTTTAGGAGCTTACACTCTACTGGGGAGATACAGGCAGTTCATGGATCAATGCACAGGCAAAGGACTAATTAGTCAAGAGGAGAAGCCTGGGGGCAGGGACTGGACAATTGGCTCATTATCCATTGGACCTGCTCCTCCAAAAGTCAGAGTTCTTAGCTTTTTTTGTCCCTGGACCCCTTCGGCAGTCTGGTCTAGCCAATGGGCCCCTTCTCAGAATAATGTTTTTAAATGCATAAAATAAAATACAGAAGATTACAAAGGAAAGCTATTATGTTGAAAGATGGTTATCCACATTGGTGAAAAGATCATGGACCCCCAATTAAGAACCCTGATCTGGATGATCTCTAAGGTTGCTCCTGGCTCTAACTGCAGTGACCTAATATCTCTGACTTGGCTGTGGTAACTCACAATAGCTAGTATTTGGAAAGGCTGGTTAAGAACTCTCGGTCTCCAATGACCTGGGTTTATTTACATCTGAAAGATGTATATTAGCATATGATCACACCCTGGGAATTGCAAGGGAGCGTTGAGATCTTCTAGTCTGATGCTTTCATTTTACAAAAGAGGAAACTGAGGCTAAGACATTCCAGGACTTGGTCAGGCTCATACGTGTGTGTGTCGGGGGACAAGTTCTGGTATTCAAACCCAGGCCCCTGACCGCAAATCTACTTCTATGGCACCACGTTGCTGCCCTTTTAATATTCAATGCACTGTATTCCTAATTGAAGGAATGCTAAATTCCAGTGAAAGCTTAAGGAAAATAAATCCTTTCCACCTTCTTGGGAGTTATTCCTATGAGAAATGCATTTCTGCAGCCCGCCAGGCCTTTCCTCATGTCCCCAGGCCCTCCAAACCCAGTCCTACCTGATCGGCCTCCAAGACACCCAACCCCTTGTCCCCTGGTTTGCCTCGCATTCCGGACGCCTGTCCCCCAACTGCCCTTGAAAAGGAACAAGAGCCCTGGAGTCTTGGCAAGATGGCCAGCAGGTGGCAGCAGTAGATAGACCGCAGAGCCAGAGCAGTCAGGACCCACACACAGCCCGGGCAGCTAGCCAAAGGTGTGTCCGGCCTGAACAGCAACTGTGCCGAGAGGACCCAGAGCTCTGAGAGACGGAGGGAGCCCCATGGGTAATTGAGTGTGAGCCCCTTGTTTGCAGAGGAGGAAATCAAGGCCCAGAGAGAGGCAGACACAGAGACAGAGACAGAGATAGACAGATACAGAGACAGAGATAGATACAGAGAGAGACAGAGACAGAGAGAGATACAGAGAGAAGCAGAGAACAAGGCAGAGAGAGACAGAGATAGACAGAGACAGAGAGAGATAGAGACAGAGAGAGAGACAGAGACAGAGAGAGGCAGAGAGAGACAGAGACAGAGATAGAGAGATACAGAGAGAGAGACAGAGAGAGGCAGAGACAGAGATAGAGAGGTACAGAGAGAGAGACAGAGAGAGGCAGAGAGCAAGGCAGAGAGAGACAGAGACAGAGATAGAGAGATACAGAGAGAGAGACAGAGAGAGGCAGAGAGCAAGGCAGAGAGAGACAGAGACACAGACAGAGGCAGAAATAGATAGAGAGAGAGACAGAGATAGATACAGAGAGAGAGACAGAGAGAGGCAGAAATAGATACAGAGAGAGACAGAGACAGAGAGCTTCAACTACCACCTAAAAGAAGGCTCTGAGTCATTAACAATAAGAGAAGAGTAAATTAAAACAACTCTGAGGTTTCATCTCATGCAGAGCAAATTGGCAAGAACAATTAAAGATGGAAACCATCACTGCTGAGGAGGAAGACAGGTGTTAGGTGGTGCTTGACTTGGAGTCAAGACAACTTGAATTCAAATCCTGCCTAGCTGTGTGACCCTGGGCAAGTCATTTAACCTCTCTCCACCTCATTTTCCTCATCTGTAAAATTGATGATAGGTTCTCATGAGGACCAAAATGAGATAATATACAGAAAGTTCTTGGCAAACTTGAAAGCATTATATAAATGCTGGCTACTTTTATTTTGAAAACAATTTGGAATTATATGTAAGACGTCACTAACTATCTGTATCATTTGACCCAGTGAGTCCATCACTAGGCCCTACTCAGTAAGCAAAGCACCAGAAATCCAAATATAATAAAGTGAAATGGTCCCTGCCCCCTAGAGCTTACATTCTACAAGGGCTGGGGTCCCCAGCCTGGGTTGCGCAGACCAAGGGATACATGGAGAGATTTCCAGGGGTCTTGGATAACTTGAGTGGGAAAAGATTACATTTTTATTTTTGCTGCCTTCTAGCTGAAATTTAGCATTTCTTTCCATTAGGAATGTGACCAACCAGAATTCTGGGAAGGAGGGGCCTACTGCTTCACCAGCCTGCCCAAAGGGTCCAGCATACGAAGAAGGTGAAGGGCAAGATTTATCAGGGCAAGATGGGCAGGGAAAGGAGCTTTGTCTAGACAGTCACAGGGAATGAGAGTGGGGACAGTGGCAGCAATGCTAATATTGGTTTGATGATTGTTCTCCCAGTAAAAGGTGGAAAGCAGCAGGCTGGATGGCAAGATGCCCTTGCTGGCCAGGCTGAGGCATCCTGGGAGCTGCCTGGATGGGATGAAGCATTGCCTGGGGCTCTGGGGCTAGCTAGATAAGACAGAAAGAAGTGGCCCCCCTCAGCAAAATATTCATATCCCATCTACTGGGAATGGTGGACAAACTGGTTTAGGAACACCATGGAAAAATGGCCAATAGGAAGAATTCAAAGAAAAGGATAAGAACAGTAAACACAATAATATAATAATGTAAATAAAAACACCACTCAAAAGCTTTGAATCGTTGACTAATCATAATCACCGATTTCTGACCTGAACATAGATAACAGCAGGGTCGCAGGACCACCAGTCTAGAGCTGGAAGAAGCCTCAGAGACCATCAAGTCCAGCCCCTTTTATAGATAGGGAAACTGAGACTAAGATATAGTAAATGACCTGATTAGTAAGTAACAGGAGCAGGAATTGGAACTCAGAACTTGCCTGGCTCCAAGACACTGAGCCACAGGATTTCTTCAGTAACAACAGTGGAGGCATTCCATTTGGATTCTATGACTTCTTTGACCTCTCAGCCACTTTAGACACTATTGACTCCACCCTCTTCCTGGGCACATTAGCCTCTCTCGGCTTCCATGACCCTACACACTGCTGGTTCTTCTCCCTCCCTCCCTCCCTCTGACCACTCCTTTACTTTCCCTGAATGATCATCCATCTGCTTCCTGTTCAGCATCGGTTTCCCCCAGAGCTGGGGCCCAGTCCCCCGTGACTCCTCTCTCTTGTGGCCTCCTGTCCTAATATACATTCAAGTACCACTTCTACAATGATTCTCAAGTCTATGTGCCCTGCCCTAATCTGATCTCTGCTGTCTGCTTTACATGTCTGCTGGATGCTTCGGAGGCATCTCCAACTTACCGTGTTCCCACTAGAATCCATCATTCCTCACACTAAACTGGTCTCTCCTATAAACTTCCCTATTTCAGCTGTAGGCACCCTCCAGCTTCTACCCACCTTGGTTTATAAGCTAGAAATCATCACCCTTGACTCCCTCCTCTCTTTTACACCTTGTAACCAATCATTCACCTAGTGTAACAGATTCTGACTGAGTCGTCTCACAGAATCCAGGCATCATACCAAATTACCCCCTGCCATTGATAGCTGAGAATTTCCTGTGTTCGGGAAGTTATATTGAAAATGGCACACTATGAACCATGTAGAGAATCGATGTGTGAAGACCTATGTTCAAAAACCATTTCTATTATTTATTAGATGATAAGACAATAGATTTAGACTTGGAAATCAGTCAGTCAGTCAACAAACATTTATTAAGCACCTATTATGTACCAGGCACTGTGATTAGTTGCATTGAGGATACAAAGAAAAGGAAAAACAATCCCTGCCCTCAAAAAGCTTACATTGTAAAGGGAGAAAGGACCTTGGAAAACATCTGGTCCAGCTCCCCCATTTTACAGATGAGGAAATTAAGGCTCAAACAAGATGAATGACTTGCCCAAGTTCACAACTAGTAAGTATCAGATATTTGAACTCAGGTCTTCCTGCCTCCCTCAACACCATTCCAGTCTTTACACCACTCTCCATCTC